AGTTTAATTTTCTGCCAGAGAAACCTAAGGAACTACAGAGTTGCTTCTGTACATGCATCAGATTTCTCCACTTTATAATATCACTTGTGAAATCTAAGGGGCACCAGGGATAATCAACAAGTGACACATTCAACAGTGCATTAGAGCCTGCATTATACTGTTGTTACTATCAGCATAAATTCTTTACCATATTAATTATGTCTCAGTGTATATTACCCATAAGTTTCAGTTGCTATACTGTATAATTTAACTTTTCAGATAAATTTCATCTATCAATGTGTCGTTATTTGATGGGTGAACAGGTAGTTTGAAATTTTAACACTGTCATATGTTCTGAACTGTTGAAGCAGTTTTGTCACAATGAAATAAGATTAAATCCTCAAGCTTAATTTCCTGCAAAAACATCTCCTGATAACCCATATGGAAACACTCCATGTTAATGTGTCAAAGAGAATTATATACAGCTAACTGGACTAATGTAAACTGAAGTAACAATATAAAAAGCATAGTTAAGAAGGTTTACTTCATCTAAAGACTGGGGCTACAGATAAAAGTGTCTATTTTAATTGAGCTGAAGATTTGCTTGATGGAGAGGGCATGGAAAATTAGATTTCTTTCTTTCTGCTATATTTACTGGATGTTATTCACTGTTGAATTGGAGCAGCAGGATTGCAATTCTGATGTAAATTGCTATAAGATGCTGCAAAATATTTGGTGCTTTTGCTTCTTTTTCCATCCAGGAACAGTTGATTCAATTTATACCGATTCCAAAGGCCCATGCTGTGCAATTCCTGAATCCCCACTGAGCAAAATAAGTAAGCCCCACCACTTCACAAGGCCTCCTTGCATCATTGGATTCAACCACAATTCCCTCCACTTGTATTCTGCTCTTCACAGGCAACTATTAAATCATGTAACAAGGAAAGTCCTTGTGAATTAACAAGCAGACCTAGAGTTAAAAATCCAAAGAGATATATTGTTTCCTTGTATAACCATGTATTTTAAAAAGCATTAAATGCATCAATTCTTAATAAACCACTTATTATAAACGTAGTCTTCCCAACAGATGAACCCCTTTCAGAATATAATACAGCTATGATAAATAATTTAAGATGACAAGATTCAATTATATGCTTTCAGAATATCATATTATTCCAAGAAAAAGGACAATGAATTTTAAAGACTGATTATCATTCTCTTGTGATAAGTAAAAGCAGATCTTTAATTACACCTCAATACATAAATTGATTTCTTTAGAACAATAATATATATGTAAATAATTAATTCCAGATTCAAATAATATAAAAAATGGCACTATACATTTAAAGAGAACACTTAAAATACAACTACATTTATAAACTTGGTCAATTAAACTTCAGTAAGATTACAGTGACATAAATTTATGTTGATATTTACATCAAAATATGTATAATCTCAAATCATGACCAAGCCTGCAAATGGTTATTTTTGCCTGATAGGGAAGAGCCTGAAGTTTCTGAATTTCAAGGACTTAAATATATGTAATAATTATTTATGCACACAATAGCTTCGTTCAGAAATACAATTTAATGAAATTACAAAGGATGCATGCAAATTATTACATAATTGTAAAAAATCTAATTTCAAATAGGTAAAACTATGAAAAGTGTGTGTATGTATGTATATACATACATACATACACACATATATATATGCATACACATACATACACTGTATATAATGATTATACAGTGCATTATCTGAAGAATTTCATCACACTGTTTTCATCAGAATATAATAGACAAGTTTGGTGCATTTGCATTAAATATGGGTCTAAAATAAACTTGGATTGAAATAAATATCATTAAGCTATTCATCATTACCTGCTTTTCATTCCACATAAGATATTAGCATCATCATATGCACTTTTATGAACTCCGTATGAAATTCATAAAAAGGTGAATTAAAAAAAATGGTATCCTTTGTTTGGAAGAATATATTTTCACCATATTGTGAAATTTGAAAAAAAAAAATTGTCATAAGCTACCTGAAGAGAAAGGATTGTTCCTAGTAATACAGCAATGAAAGAACATCTGCAGGTGGCACACTTTTGCTCAATGATCCAAAAAAGCTAATGGAAGTCTTCACCTAACCAAGCACCAACCTTGAGACATTATGCAAAGCACTGGCAGAGATATTTCTCCATTTATTTATTTATTATACATATTTCTATACCACCCAGATTCCAAAATGTTTTCTATGCAAGAGTATTATGTTAATCTGGGTCTTTAAATATTTTGATTTGACTATGATACAGTATTATTTATATGCAGGATCATATCTTTATATTCAATATTAATCTATCCAGAAGTTATACAGAGAAATCCCTGTACGTAGAAAAATATACCATGATTGTCCACAGAATTATTGATCAGTATCTCCATTCCACTGTTAAGTATGTACCGAGAGAAGTAACAAACCCAGTTGCTACCCAGTTTCAGAATATCACTGAATACTTAACATGTATAAAGAGAGAATTGTGTTATGTGTTCTTCACTGTGTGCTTTTATACATTAGATTTCTCTTCTTTTGGAAGAATGATGTTTTTTTCCCTCTCTCTATGGTGGGTGAATACCTCCTTAAAAACATAATCTTCAAGCTTAGCAATTTTCATTGCTGAAGATTAAACAGGAGAATTCCTTGTCTCCAGTAACTATAGCATTCTGCCCATCATGAACTAAAAACAGCTTCTTGATCTAAAATTTTACAATTTTCACTCTCTAAGTAATAAAGTACTCCCTAGATATTTCATCTTTCTGACATTTAACTGAGAAGAACCAAAACACCTTTCAGGCAGAAAGTGCCCTTGACATTCTAACTCAAATTGATTATTCAGATTCAAGTCTGTTAATGGAAATTATTTATATTAAGAATGAAGCACTGATGATTATGCATGCATGATAATATCAGTAGGATTACACTTGGAATTTTTTGTTGGTTCTGTAGTCCTCTTGACCTTAAATTTGCCTTACTTTGTTTGAAGAGTAAAGGGAACATTGCATTGCTATAAACTTTGCAGTACAAATGAAGTTTTGCATAAAATATATTATAAATTCCAACTGTCAAAATAACCTATAAATCCATGTTGTTCAAATAAGGGTATGTTCTTTGCTTTTTCCAGAAAAGTTTTTAAATACAATCTTTAGATATTGCACCTATTATTCAGAACAACTACTGGAATGTGCAATGTTCATATTTGTCATAGGTTTAGTGATTTACTAGGGCATGAAAATGGTTTCTCCTTGTCAGGACCTGTTCAGGAACATTGTTCAAGCAAATCTTTCTATACCTTTATATTACAGAGAGATTTCAAAATCTGATGGTTAAAATATCACAGGTGACCACAGTCTTAAGGCTTAGTCCCACTGAAGTTGTCATTTACATGTAAGACTTGGTGGCCCTGAATGCCATCTAGTCAAATGCAGAGATCTCTGTGTGCACTTCCACCATGACCTAATTCAATAGCAACATTCCCTCTGCTAGCAGTGGACTAGCAGGGTGTAAATAAAAAAAGAATCCATGTTAACTTTTTTTTTTTTTTGAGAAAATAGGAAGAAATAAATTTAGAATAACCCTCAAATGTGTCAACATTTTATCAGCACTAATTTCTTACAAAAGATACTCCAGGTAGCAAGATATATTTCTAATACAGCTGGAGACTTGAACTGCTGAGCTTGAAATGGGGCATGGAAAAATATATTCAAATACTGGCTAAAGATTAATTTCCAACCCCAAGATTTGACTTCTCTTATTTTGTCTGACAAATTTGAATCTATCTGGAAGCGACAAATTGGAGATAAAATTCAGAAATCGGGTTTTGCACCAGTGACATACTGCTGTACATGGGACAAGGACAGACCATGGTAACCCTTAGACAAAGTATCCTTGTCATAGAATTGCAAACAGAATACAATAAAATATCATCTGGTATAAAATTGGGCCAGAGAAAGATCTGCTTCAAACTGGCCAATATCTTAACCAGCTTATAGTTAATAAATGCAGAGCTTTTATGCTGTTAAGTTTTGGCATCTAGCCATCCGTTGAATTGGAAGCCAAGTTCCAGAAAATTCCCTGTGCAAAAGGGAAATGCCTTTGCCAGTCTGGAAATATTTAATCACTGGCCCACCTCTTACGCTACTGTAACTTTTATAGAGATACATGTATGGAGCTTTTAACACTCTCATTAGGCCATTTGCTGGATGTCTAGGTAAATTTTATGTAAAATTTCTTCTGGCAAACAAAGACTCTAAAATAACACAAGCTGTTGCAAAGCTTGCATTTGTAGCCTATAAACCCCATGTATTATTAATGGCAAATTAATTTTGGGCTGATTCTTTTGGCTGTACTGTGTAGGGTAGAGCACTTCATAAAACACTGGGGTGTTACATTGTTTTTACCCTATTTTATCATATAGCAGTTGTCTCTTTTTTATTTACTCTTTATCTATCTTATTTTCTTATATTTTATCTAATTGTTCTAATAGGTATGCTGGGTCTGTGATCTGTAATCAAATGATTGAAGATATCAGCACATAAGGGTAAGGATCCAGTAGATCGCCAATTCTTTCTGTTCTGTTTTATGCCTTTCAAATTTGGGGACTCCTGATGTAGGAGCCAACGGAAGGAAAGAATAGGTGTCTTATCTCACTCCTATGCTCAGAGCAAACACTCCAATATTTTCTGTGGCTTCTGGGAAACTCTGCCTGGTACTATGCGGTTTAACAGACCAGCTTTGTGACTTGCTTTACCAATCTTCTGTCCTACCTTCCTAATAGAACATATTGGACCAGGCCATATGCATTTATTTCAACATTAGCCAAAATTAGGAATCCAGGTTTGTGTTATTTTAGTCAATCCTAAATATGTTATATAGCTTTTTAAGAGATTGTGATAGTTATGAAAATAAATAAATCTATGAAAATGTGTAAGTTTAAATAAAGCATTTATTAAGCACAGTTTTTATCAATGCATCATAAAGGAAAATTTAACAATAGTTTAATTAAACTTACAATAGTTTAAACTTATTATTGGATTAGTAGTTTGGAATGTAGAGCAATCCAACTATTTCATAGAAAATAAAATTCTTCAAATCCATTTTCAGGAAAAAATAACTTAACACTATATACAGGCTTCAATGTTTTTAGTGTTCCATTAAAATTCATGACTAACTGGTAATTTTTAACCTGGGAATTGCTGTCCACAGCTTTGCTACAATTATCAAAAGGCTGAGAAATATTTAGACAAATAATCCTTTCTATTTGAGCTGAATTAATAATAATTGATGGAGAATTCCAAATGATGAAATATGTGTTTTAAAATTCATTTCGAAATATTCAAGGACATATAATAAAAGTTAAAGTAAACTTGCTATCTCTGAGATGACCTGATTTCTGTTAGTATCAAGAATAGTGTGTTTTTTAAGTACTTTAATTCAGTTTCATGATAATTCTCTATTCCAGATAACAATTTTATATTCTGCCCCCCCCCTTTCTCGTACTGGAACATAAATGGTAATCCTCCTTACAACCATCAACGTGCCACCCTATAATAATTGCATTTAGATCACTTCTACTGAACAGACAATAACAACATTGTCAAACTGTATTTTGAAAGTGTATAAAATTTTTGACAGAAAATTAAATTCCACTTATATCTTGGAAGTTATCTGATTTTAAATGAGACTTTCCCTGACTACTAACCCAGTTCCACTGACAAAAGAAAACTAGCACATTAGTCCATTGCATAAACTTATTTGCAAGAATTATATACATTTCTGAAGTTTCCTATTTTTGTCCATTTCCACACATTTCTTCTATTCATAGTCTCCATTTGAATACCCAATGCAAACTTCCTTATATCTTGGTTCACATAAATCTTCTTACTGTATTTGCTAACATCCACTGCAAATCCAAGGTGCAAAGAGACACTTTGATCTGCGTTAAAAAACGGTAATCTTTTTCGCTGTAGACTCTTTTCTCTGGGATGTTGAATTCCACGTTGGTTTCACAGTAGCAGAGTTTTTGTCCACAGTTCTATATTGTGAATATGGAGTCACGGGCAACAGCAACAGATGCAGACTCAGTCTGTCACTCCAAAAGGAATACAAATATGCTTAAAGCTGCTTCATTTATGAAGCAAACTTAGAACTGTTAGCTGCCTGGAGAAAGGGAAGGGGGAAAAAAAGCTTAATGTCTCAATAGCTTTCAGAAGCTATTTCACTGACACGTGCTCAATTTCTCATATTAGTAGAAGGTACTTTCATAGAATCATAGAGCTACAGCCTAGATCATGAAGGAATCCAAAATAAAGCATTCTCCAACAGAGAGCTCTCCATTCCCTCCTTGAAAAAATCCCAAAAAGTGAAACCTCAATTTTACTAAGTACTTGATTCAAAGCACAATGTGATTTCATTCTCCTTTATTCAACTTACAACCACCCTTTCCATTTGTTTTATATTTAAAACAGCTACCCATGTATTTTTAAACATATCAGGATAAAACAAAATATAACAAAACATAAAAATAAGGTGTTCACAGGATATGGTTTAAAAATCAAGATGGTGGCCATTAGAGTGTGATCAAAGCTCTGCTTGTTTTTTATGTGCACTCTATGTGTGACGAACATAAAAAATGAAAGTTCTGATCACACTGCTGTGGCCTCCACTTGATATTTTTGACCATACCCTGTGGATACCCTTGCCTAACAGACTACAATCTATAGCCCAAGAGTGTTGCAGGAGAAGTACCTCTCCTACATGCACGATACAGGCCCCTCAATGTGAAATGTGCTCAGAAAGCTCTGGTGGCCAGTGCAGATCTTTCAATATGGACATCATATCCTCCCTACTGATATGTTACAATTAGCAACATATCACATTTTCTATCATTTGAACCCCCTATCAATTTACTATGGAGTGTATGACGAATGTTGTAGTGATGAAGTGTTGCCACCTTAGGGAAGCATGAGATACGTCAGGAGAGAAAGAAGAGAAAAGATGAAGAACAGGAGAGAGAAGAAATGAGAGAGTGAAATTTATGGAAAATTGGTGCTTGGGAAACAGGCAGAGTAGAACTGAGAACAGAAATACAATCAACAGTCATAGTACTGATTGTGGATTCTCTCTACATTCTCTCTTCTGTGTGTGCATGCATTATACACATTTAATCAACCAAAACGTGGCGGTAGTCTTATATCTGTACGTATAGACAATCTGTTAAACCTTTCTGTATTTTAAGCATCAGCTGAACCTATATTAAAACTTAGAAGCTCAGTTCATATGTCAGGAATAAAATGGTCATAGTATGTTTCTTGTATCAATAGTAAATTGGTCTCTTTTTTACGTTTATCTTTTGGTATAAATTTAGAAATGTGTATGTATATGTGTGTGGGTCTGTGTGAATGCATAAATACATAGACCCATACATATATAGTTTTTCTGTTAAATTTGAATTCATTATTTTATAATGATTTTTGGTCTTAAAAATGATATATTTTAAAAAGGCTTAGTCTTATATCATTAAAAAGCTCAATCTCACAGAAATCCTGTTATGTCTTCCTTCCTTCCTGAATGATATGATACGATATATGATAGAAACTAGGCCTTTCACAGAAGATCACCCAATACCTCAGAATAGGGCTATACAGCACTTTGGACTCAAAAGCAGACCAGTGTTTTAGAACGTGCATGGGCACTTTTCTGCAACTCCTTCACTAGAGACACCTTGTCATGATATTCCATGACTTTCTCAGGAAAAAAACACAAGATGTTAGGTAGCCGCAGACAAGTTCTCATATGCTCTGAAGCACCTTTTTTTCCTTTGAATCTAAAGCACTGCACGGCCCTATTTCAGACCACGCAACAGCATCCATATTGCAAAATGCTTGCTCTTCCTCACTTGCCATGTGTATCAGTGATCGAGAGCTTACTTTGGTACCACATGGGCAGGTCTTAAAACAAGCCAAAGGAAGTGAGATTACGTTGCTCGGAGAGCTACAGGAATTCCTTTCGCATCATAGCTGAGCTACGCAGAGGCCAGTGATAGAGAAACCTGCCAACACAAGATGAAATTCCAGTCTTCAAAAGGCACAAGCTGTCCCTGTGCCACAGCACAAAAGCTCGGATGTCTCACATAGTAAGCCACCATCTCTAGACCTGAATGCTTATTTAAAAGAGAGTAAGGAGGGAGCTTATTTTATAGACTATAGCTCTGTTGTTAACGAAGTGGCCATATCAGTGTCCTGATGGTGTATAGGTTTATATGAGAAACCTTCTGAAAGAACTACTACAAAGTTCAGTGAACTAGTCATTTGAAACCCCTGGTGATAAATTCAAATGTTCTGTTTCAATACTTGCCTAGACATGAAGCAGTAACAGTGTATATATAAAAAAGAAACAGCTACACTTGTAGAAGCGATTTGTCTTTGTGCTGCAACATACTGAAAAAGAAATAAAAAAACAAAGTGTTTTTTCATCCTTTTGTGACAAATCAGTTTTGAAATATAAAAATAATTCCAGATGGAGAACAGTACATATTCGTTGAGAATGTTCTACAATTACCTATTTGAAAGTACATTTGTATAGAAATGACTTTTTAAAATGTAACAATATATATTGCAGGGAAAAATGCATCCATTAGACTTAAAGAGAACAAAACAATTAACAACATACACTTCTAAACTCTCCATTTTGCAATTTTATATTGCTTGCATACTAAGAACGTCCCATTGTGTAAGTCATTCTCTAGCAAGCCTGTGTAGAATTGCAACTTTACAAAAACCTAACATAGGTCATGAGGTACCCATCTTAAGAGTCCTAGAATCTTTTAAGACCCAAATTTCACAAACATATATTTGAAATTGAGGAAATAGTGTCCAAACATACAATGAACTCAAACTTTAATCAAAATACCTTATCTCATTATCTTCTTGGCAGATGTTAGATTGTGTAGTCTGGTCAATTTCTAGTATATGCCTGCAGGTCCTTTTCTATAGAAAAGTAGCAAAACATGCCTTATGTTAATGTAGAAACATGGAATATAATCAATTGTATTTTTAGCAATGTTAATATTGAAAGCATGTTTATGTTATCATTTAGCTGAAAGAGGAAGAAAATAATAAAATCAAGTCTCCTTTGAGTTGATCTCATCTCTGGGAGATCACATGTCCCTGTCCAGGTAGTTTTCTTGGCATGGAACATACAGCATGGAAATGGTTAACCACTGCCTTTTGTGTGTGTGTGTGTGTGTGTGTGTGTGTAAATTTTTTTCAGCCCACCTTTTTCTTACCATTTATTGATAGCAAAAATATGTAAAGAGAAAATAGCCCTTGTGCTTCTTTGCACTGTTATTATTTAGTTGTTGCAGAAGGTTCACATTATACCATTCATTGTGATATTATTCTCAATAACTGTAGAACTGCAAAACCCCTCAAAGTTCAAATCACAATATTTTGTCTCTGGAAAAAGTAATATTACTCTTAGCTAATTCACACTGTTAAGACTATGAATGTTCTATAAAACAAATGTATTTCAGTGGTCTCCTACTAGATAATACCCACTACATCATCCTGGCCTAGCAATCATAGCAGCTTTGTAAATTTTGCAGCATTTTAAAAATGTTTATCATTGCAAGCCTATGAAAGCCCACTGCTGTTGTCAGTTCCAAACTGGCATTCAATCCTATATCAATACCCTTTCCTCCCCACTGGGGAATCTAATTCCACACTAGAAAATCATCCTCTGCCAACAGGTCATCTGCCTCCAGACAGGATGGGGAGAGGAAGGAAATGGAGAGTGAAATGACAAAGCTTTCCAGATGCATAGAAAGCTAAAAAAAATCTTGCCACAAATCCTGTCTTGAAAAGGTTTATTGATATTTTTGCTTAACAGGATATTGAGGTTTTAAAAAAGGTGAGCTTAGCCATATCATTTTAGCCCTAGAACTTCTATCAAGGGTATATATGAAGCTTCCATTTAGTACCCTCTTTAACCAATCATATTTGATGTTTCTCACCTTCCAGCACATGGCTCCCAAAATAAAGCCAAACAAAAGAGCCACCAATGATGGAAGCACTATGCTCACTGCCTGTATGCTGGCGTGACTGTGGAAGCCCAATTCTGCTTCTGGAATTAAAAACATTTTGGATTAGTGAAGACAGATTAAAACAAAACAATATCTCCAGGGTAACATCGTTAAGCTCATGGGTCATGCATTTGGTAACACTTTTCTAGTCCATACACTGTAAATTATACCTTTAAAGTGGTTTGTTGTTTCATTAGGAAGTGTTTGGCTGACTGAAATTCACAGCTTTATTTGCACTTCACTCGGGAAAGGCAAACATTCTGGCAACTTTATAATCCCATGTAACCATCTGCAAAGGGACACTTACCAAGTTATCTTCTCCTTCTCTCTTGGCTGGATTTTCAGCTAAAGATCTCTCCTCCCCAATTAAACCAGACCACATAATTTTTCAGAAAAATATGCTTAGAAGCTCTCATATATGAATTTTCAAGAGACAGAGCAAAAGGAACTGAAACATGCCAAGGATTCCCTCACCCTTCCTTGAAGAACAGAGCACTATTGGCAACAGCAGTCCTGTTGGCCACTAAAGTAATAGTTTGAGCACTTTTGCACATCTGCTCATCTGAAAGGCAAACCATGTCAAGACTTAACCTATAGTGATGTGATGGAATGGACTTATGAAGGCCATGCTCAGGGAGATGTGTTCTTAGCTCCCAACAGGAGCATGGGAAGTTCAAGAAGATGAGGCTGGCATCTCCCTAAGGAATTCTCGGTGTTGCGGCTGGCTGGCTTGGGAACTTGGGTTCAGTCTAGTGAGATAATGTCTTGAGGTGGAAGCTAATAAATGCAACAGAACTGTATTTGCATTGTCTCATGGAGTTCTTTGGGCTGAACCTGACATCAATCTCACCAGACTCCCACTACCTTCAAGAGGGCGGAGGCAGCATGTTGGAGGAAGGTTTGGTGGAGGCTTTAGGGGAGGAGCGGCTCAAGCAAGCAGTCCACAGCCTTCCACTTCGGGTTTGCATGCGGTAGGAGGGAAGGGGGCTGATTCTGCTAATGTTGTAGCTGTTTTCCAGGACCAATCAAATGGCTGGATGGAGGAGCCAGGAGGTACTGAGAGAGCATCATCACCTGACCTTTCGTCTCTCCCGCCTTTGCCCAGTTCTGATGAGAACTCTGAGGGGGAGGTTAGAGATGGAGGGAGGGGTGATGTGATGGAATGGACTGATAAAGGCCATGCTCAGGGAGAGAAGTGTGTTCTTAGCCCCCAACAGGAGTGTGGGAA